CCCCCCCCCCCCCCCCCCAGACCCTGCATTGCCAGCCAGAACCTGCACCCCTCTGCCCCAGCCGTGTTCCCCCTCACACCCTCCGAACCCCTCAGTCCCAGCCCAGAGCACCCTCCTACACCCCAAACTCCTCATCCCCACCACAGAGCTCGCACCCCCTCCCGCACCCCAACCCCAATTTTGTGAGCATTCATGGCCCTCCATACAATTTCTATTCCACGATGTGGCCCTCAGGCCAAAAAGTTTGCCCACCCCTGCTCCAGAGGGAGGGTTAAAAGAGCTTGAGGTACCTCACAAGAAGGAATTCCCAAGTGCGCCTTCCTCGGTTCTCAAAGGGGTGTTTGCATTTGGGTGGTGGCAGTGATACCAGTGCAAGGCCAGGGAATCTGTAACCTTGGGGAGTTTTAATGCAGCCTTTAGTGGCAAGTATTTTTAAGGTCTTTTGTGGGTCCCCATCTTCTGCACTGGAAGTGTCAAAGTGGGAAAACAGCCTTGACAGACACATAGGGGAAACAGGTTTCAGAGTGGTAGCCCTGTTAGTCTGTATCAACAAAAACATTGAATAGTCTTTGTGGCACCTTAGAAAATAACAACTTTATTTGGGCATAAGCTTTCATGGGCTAGAATCCACTTCATCGGATGCATGAAGTGAAAAATACAGGAGCAGGTATAAACACATGAAAGGATGGGGCTTGCTTTACCAAGTGTGAAGTCAGTCTAACGAGATAAATCAATTAACAGCAGGATACCAAGGGAGGAAAAATAACTTTCAAAGGGGTAAGAGAGTGGCCCGTTACAGACAGTTGACAAGAAGGTGTGAGTAACAGTAGGGACAAATTAGTATTGGAGAAATTAAGTTTAGGTTTTGTAATGACCCAACCACTCCCAGTCTTTATTCAGGCCTAATCTAATGGTATCCAGTTTGCAAATTAACTCCAGTTCTGCAGCTTCACGTTGGAGTCTGGTTTTGAAGTTTTTTTGTTGAAGAATTGCCACATTTAGGTCTGCTATTGAGTGACCCGAGAGATTGAAGTGTTCTCCTACTGGTTTTTCAATGTTATGATTTCTGATGTCAGATTTGTATCCATTTATTCTTTTGCGTAGAGACTGTCTGGTTTGGCCAATGTACATGGCAGAGGGGCATTGCTGACACATGATGGCATATATAACATTAGTAGATGTGCAGGTGAATGAGCCCCAGATGGTGTGGCTGATGTGGTTAGGTCCTATAATGGTGTCCCTTGAATAGATATGTGGACAGAGTTGGCACTGGGGTTTGTACCTGGGTTAGTGTTTTGATGTGTGGTGTATAGTTGCTTGTGAGTATTTGCTTCAAGTTGGCGGGGCTGTCTGTAGGCAAGGACTGGGCTGTCTCCCTAGGTCTGTGAGAGTGAGGGATCGTCCTTCAGGATAGGTTGTAGATCCTTGATGATGCGCTGAAGAGGTTTCAGTTGGGGGGCCGTAGGTGACGGTTAGTGGTGATCTGTTACTTTCTTTGTTGGGCCTGTTTTGTAGTAGGTGACTTCTCGGTACCCTTCTGGCTCTGTCAATCTCTTTCTTCACTTCAGCAGGTGGGTATTGCAGTTTTAAGAACACTTGATAGAGATTCTGTAGGTGTTTGTCTCTGTCTGAGGGATTGGAGCAAATGCGGTTGTATCTTAGAGCTTGGCTGTAGACAATGGATCGTGTGCTGTGGTCTGGATGAAAGATGGAGGCGTGTAGGTAAGTAGAGCGGTCAGTAGGTTTCTGGTATAGGGTCGTGCATAAACAACTCAGCGCGAGGCACAGCAGTGAAGCCTGGGAATAGGGATATTGAGAACCAGCTACCAGGTTTTAACCCTTTCCTTCCCTTCCCTTGCAGTGTCACCCATGGTGGCATCAGCTCAGCCTGTGGCACAGGGATCACTCAGTTCCTGAACACAGCCCGCTCAGCTCCCCTGGAAATACGGGGCGGGGCTGGATTTCAGACGATGGCATTCCAGGACCTCCGCTGACATCGGTGGGCAGAGTTGAGGAGCCAACCCACAATAGATTTCCCAAATTTAATGTAGCGACCTGGGAGATAAAAGTCCCCAACCCTCAGACCCTATCTGCACGAATAACCCAGGGATTGCGCGGACACCCAGCTAGAGTGGATTCCCGCGAGGTTGACTGGATTCTCTCAGGCGGAGGCTGTGATGCAGGGAGAAGCAGAGACCCACAGATGAGAGGTGAGGACAGAGTCAGAGAGCACAAGGCTTGAGGCATTTCCTGGTGTCTGCTGCTCCGGGCTTCTCGTTTTCCTTCTGAGTCCATCTGCCCTGGCCTGGCGAACCATCCCCCGGACATGCAACAGCGGGATATTTGACAAACAGTAAAACTGTGACCACTCAAGCACTTCTGGCTGGGGGGGAGAGAGGGAGGGAACTGAGACCTCACCACTTTTTTCTGGGGATCGTGCACTCGAGTGGGACAACGCCATGACCCAAAAATGAGAGTAACTTCGCCCCTCCCTAAATCCCCTCTCACTTCCTCTCCCTCCCACCCAGGGCTCACCAGTCTGATATCCCAATTCACTTTCTCCCCCCGTGTCTGATTCTCCCTCATTGTCCCTGTCCCAGTTTTTAGAACAATGTCAGTAGTTTGAGGTGCAGAGAGGTAGATAATAAATATCCCTTTAACCCCAGTAACCTGATATCTTCTCCTTTAGCACCAACCCGCCCCCCTCCAGCGAGTCGGGGGTGCCCTGCCTCGTGCTCACTGCATGGATGTATAATCCCTGTTCACACGGCAGAGGGGGGCAGGAGTGACACACCCAGAGCACAGCTGTGGGACGGGCATGAGAAGGGGCATCAGGGTGGACACATATGACAGCAGCTTTTAACTCCACGGGTCCATGGGAATCTCTCACAGCGCACCAATGTCAAGCATTCCCTCCCGCCATACACACCACTGGTCCCACTGACATAAATGAGGGAAGTCCCAGGAGTGAGAACATTGGCGTATGGCCTGAGCCATGTGTCCGAGCCCGCCAGGAAATAGTTCCCTCTGGCACGTGTCAGTGGAGCCAGTCCCTGCTGGGAAGGGGTGTGAACAGGGGTTCAATCCCAGCTCTCTCCCAGAGCTCCAAGTTATCTTCGCTCTCCAGCGGGTGGGTGGCCCGAGCCCTCCCCAGTCACTAACTCCAGTGACCGGTCGTTCCACAGCCCCACTGAGCTGAGTTTTCCCCCACCCTTTATTCATATTTTTCACTACCTTAAGAGTCAACCTCATTCATTTGTTTCTTTTATAACAGATTTAAAACATATTTTTCCTCATTAACCGGCCAATCTCTCCAGGCATCTCTGAGTCCCCCACGGCCAAACAACGTGGCTGTAATCCAGCCCCAAAATTTCCTTCTGGGGAATCGAACCTTCCAGACATCTCTTTATTTTTCCATTGTCAAAAGTGTACTTAGCATCTCACTGCACTGTGCCTGGCGCTGTACAAACACACGGTCTGGAATAACCTGACTCCCTCCCTCTGAGTCCTACTGCATGTAATACATCACATCAGATTTTGTTTCTCTTAAAAAGGAGGAGAAAATGCAAATAGGA